GTGATTCTGTGAACACCTGTATGACCCCTATATAATTTGTACTTGCGTGGAGCTTGCGGAAAGCAAGCAATGTGTTGTCGGAATCATATATTGCCAAAATGGCCTAGCCATTTTGGCTCAAGCTTGGGTCAACAGACCTTGAAAAATTTGAAACTCGCTTTCTCGCATTCGCTTTTGCCTTTCGCTTTTCAGCTATGGCTCCAAAGTCCTTTGATGCAGCTGCGTCTGGTGCAAGCGCTTTGGACTCTGAGATGATGTCCGAAGGAAGCTTCCAGTTGGTGGACCACCTCACTGAGATCACCGCCGAAGATTACCAGATGGCGGAGCAAGTTGCGGAGACCCGCAAGAACGAGGAGGATGCTGCCAGCCTGACTCTCTCGGGGGCGAACCCGGATGGCTACGCAATTCTCCAGAATGCCACTAAGGTGGACCTCCAGAAGTCTCTTGCTGAGTTGACTGAGGCCATGCAACAGCTGGCCACTAAGGACAAGCCTGTGGACCAAGGTGTCAGTACCCAACCCGCAGGGGAAGGGGAGCGATACTAAGGTCTTGGTGGAGTTCGAGAAGGTTGCTGTGGACACCTACCGCATCACCAATGGCGGCAAGGAGCTTCCTCTGGTCCCGAGCATCAGGAACATCTCCGAGACCTCACTTTGGGCGACCTTCGGGACTTGCTGTCCATTTTTGGCAACCTTGAGGCCCTCACTTCATCCGCTTTCCACCGGATCCTGGAGAGCTATGCACTGGCGATCAAGAAGCTGCAGCATGAAAAGATCCTGGCGGTGGAGCACGTCAAGAAGAGGGATACCACGACAATCCACAAGCTTGATGCAGGCCCGGAGATCTCAGAGTACATCTGCGAGCACTGTAAGTCCCCATGGCTCAAGCAGGAAGAGGAGGGCAAGTGTTTCGCGTGCGGCAAGACTGGCTACCGCATGCACAAGCTGAAGGACATGGGTTTGACTCAGGAGGAGTCACATGGAAGCTCAAGATCAATGACAAGGGGGTCACGTGGAAGATCCAGCCGAAGGAAGTGGAGACCTTTGATGACTGGTCTGTTCTTCATCAAAGGTCTCCCCTTCCTTCGGCTGGATCTTCCACGTGACCCCCTTGTCATTGATCTTGAGCTTCCATGTGACTCCTTCCCAAGTGTATGGCAGGGGTCTAACAGACCACTGGTGACATAGGTCACATACCTGAGGTGGCAGCCGCACAGGCACCATCCTAGCGTGTGAAGAAAAGGATGGTGCTGTTTACTCTTTGCCTTTTGTGTGAGCATTAACATAATGCCATTTTCGATTGTTACGGGAACACTATATATAATCCCTTCAGACCCTGACTTGGGCAACGGTATGCAAACTTTTCCAGCCAATACTCAACAAATTGAATATCCATAGACCAGTCATTCAGCATTTGCTGGAGTATCTCCGGCCTCTCGACTGGAATTGTGTGCTTGAATGCAAGATGAAAAACAGCCAAGAGATTTGACCAGCTTTACACATGTTTCCCCCCGCTATGTTGCATGATCCGTCGTGTTAAATTTAAACCCAAAGCCGGGCCCAAGGCACACCACTCTAAGACAATGTCAGGTCAACAAAACATGATGACACAATCGACCTATGTTGGAGGTGTGTTGTAGTTGAATCTAGTTTTCACATCCATGGGTTTGGTGGACTTTCTGATCCCATCTTCATCGAACCAAGACAATAGCAACAGTAATACTATATATATATATATATATATATTATAATATATATATTATTATTATATATATATATATATTACAATATATATATATATATTATATTATATATATATAGTTATATATCATGGAAACATCAGAGTGAATCCCGGTTAAGGCTCATTGAAACGATACATATGCCACCTTCGGACCATTTTCGTACATCGGTGGATTTTCAGGGGATTGGACACCATTTTCTTGTCGTGGTTTGGACGCTGTCTCCGTGGAAACATCTCGCTCGCAGACACCCAAAATGATGTGTCCTTTTGTCTAAAACTATGCTACAGTATGTCGTGCCTCGCGATTCATGCGGCCCGTATTATAAACTGAAACAAATCATTCCACCACCACTGACTGTTTGCGAACTACCAGGAAGTGGCAAGGCCTCTACTAGAAATTTCTGAAGGCGCGATGTGTTTGAAAACACGCGGCATGGTCCTGCAATGATTCATTGCCAATCTCAACAGATTGTGCTACTACTTTTTTTTCCTCAGAAATTGTGCAAAAGAACAGGTGTCCTCTTTTGAGGAAGAACCACTTGAAGGCCAGTTGCTGGGCAACTTGGCGTTTTGCAGCTGTGTTTGAAGAAATCTTGAAGTGTGAAGGCCTTTTTGTTTTTTTTCTCTCAGCTTTTATTGTAGTCTTCAGCTCTTTGGCAACACAGCAATGACTTCACATCATCGTTGCCAACATACCTACGTTGAGTCTGGACCAGGCCAAGATAGCACCGAACGTCAAGAACCTTTCCAAGTTCAGTCTCAGTTCTGGTCAGGCTGCGCTTGATCGTTTTACAGTTGGAACCGGCTGAAAAGCGACAAACAATTGGACCTCGTCTGATGTATTTCAGTTGAATCCAAAAAAACTCGAGTCGACTCGAGTCTGAAACTGGAGGTTGGAGATAAACATCCAGATCACCGAGACCAGAGTAGTGAAGGAGCTAGTGCAACGACAGCTCGTGGTGTTTGCCCAGCTTAGTCTGCCTAGTCTGCCTAGTCTACCTCAGGAGAATTGCTTGAATGGAAAAGTGGCTGCCAGGTAGTTGCATTCGGAATCAAAGCTCAACATGATCTCAATCACACATGAATCCATGACCGATTTTGTGCTTCAAGGGCTTCAGGTCCTCACGTTGCACTCTCCTCTCCGCCCAGGGGCAGTGCTGCCAGAGTCTAGTTTGAGTTTGAGGCATGCTTTTGGACCTTTTGGCTTTTTGCATTGCATTTTTTCGCCGTTTTCAAGCAAAGCATTTTGTTGCGGTGAAACCACTGCGTTAGCTGGTGAGCATTGAGTGGCGCCTGTTGGATTTGCTGCGACTGTTGAAACTGTTGCACGTGTTGCACCTTTTGCATGTGTTGCCGATGATCCGCTGATGTTCTGTATTCTTGCAGATCTTTGCCTTTTGAGAGATTGCAAGACTTGTGTGGCTCAAGTTTGTGCAATATGGAGCCAGAGGCGCTTGAAAATGCCAAGCGCATTTTAGGAGAAGCGGGATGCACAACACTTCTGGAGACTGCACCGATAGACTGGGCTGGGGTGCAGCGCGGACGAGATGTCTTTGTGCCAGGGTGGGGTGGCTTTGACATAGCAGCAGCGTTGCAAATGTGCAACTCGTCAGCAGAGGTTCCAAGAGTCCCGAGTGTTGATGAGCTGCGCAGCTCAGGATACGTCATAAAGTACTTTTCTGAAATCAAAGATGCCATAATCCGAGACAGGATCCAAGGACTGCTACGAACACCTGGAAGCCTACTTGCTCGTTATGTAGTCCAGCACCGTGCCTTTTGGGCTGATGCCCGAAATGCAAACAGACTTGATGAAATTGAAGAGTACTGGCTGGGCTTTCAAAGAGCAAACCCTGCAAGAGCCTTGAAAGAAGATCCCAAGAAGTTACTCAATCGCTTGGCTCGGGATAGATCCGTTGCTCAGCACCCTTTAATTCAATTTGATCATTTGCTTGGGCGCCAAAACAGCTTATTCGACGAAGCCCGGATGCTATTGCCAAGTGAACACGGTGAGCAAGCGGAGCCCTGGAGTTTTGAGCTGGCAGTCTTGGAAGACTCGCACAGTGTCCTGCGGGCTGCTCGAGAGTTGAACAATTGCGCAGCAGATTACATTCGAAATGTCCGCCAGAAGAGATGTGCATTGATTGTTCTTCGCTCGCCCAAGAGACTCCTTGCTATGGGAGAATGGGACCTACATGCTCGACGTTGGTGCCAAATCTCTGAGCACAGTGACGAACCAGTTCGCGAAGAATGGGGGAGCATGTATCAACACATGGCCAAAGAGGAAGATCTTTTTCCTGTTCGCAATGTCCTTCCTTTGCCTGAATTTGAAGCAGGAACCAGCTTGCTGCAAGAGGTTCAGGAGGACTTGATTTCAGTTTTCAGTGCTGAGGGATCCACAGATTTGGATAGTTTGTGCAACTCGTCAATCTTCGGCATGCAACCTTGCTTTGGATGGCCATCTCTATTGCCAAATACATGTCATCCAGAAGCTTGCGGGGCACTACTGCTTTGGACCGTTGCTAGCGCGCTGTCGAACGATTGTGAGTTGGAAGGAGACATTGATGAAATTGTAGATAGGCTTCTTTGCAAGAGAGCAGATCCAGACTCAATGACAGATCGGGGATGGAATTCTTTGATGTTTGCAGTGATGGCACAGAAAAACACAATCGTCGCACGGCTTTTGGAGGCTGATGCTGATATAGATGCTCGAGCCGTCCTAAGCGGGCGTACCGTGTTGATGTTGGCATGCTCTATACAGAACTTCGGTCTTGTGTGCAGACTCATCACAGCTGCAGCCTCGCTGGATTTTGCAGCTCGGATTGATGGTCGTACGGCGATCTTGCAAGCGGTTGAGCACTCAGCTAACAGAATTCTTGCGGCAACTAGCACATTAGATATGCACAATGTAAATCAACGCACGTTGAGCTGTAACTGCAGAAAGTCCAAAACTTGATAAGACATTCATGCAGCCATTGGTGCCTGGTGTCCCGACTCGTGAAACAGATGCTTGGCAGACCGAACAAGAAACGCACTACTACTTTCTGTACATTTTAGCTGTGCAACCAGTACATGAGAGGAGTGAAACATGTAAAAGACAGCAAAGACAAGAGACAGATTCGAGCTGTGCCCATGCACAAACGGTTGCATTGGATCCTCTTAAGGCCAGTAGTGGAGCTTTCTTTGGGGACATTAGACTTACTAAGCTGAGCTATATTTATGGAGCATCAGTTTTCACATCCCTCTATTCTCTCCTGCTGAGCGGTACTGAATTTCTGACATACATAGATCCTGGCACTCAGACGAAGATGCCATGGCAAGTTGGAAATGGGTCAGCCTTGCGCTCATGCTGGCGCCACTTGGACTGAACAGACTGTCTCGGCCGAGACGGGATCAATGCTTGACCAGTCGAGGCAGAATGCAATTACACCGATCGTTTTTCGCTACGTTCGGAGCCTTAGGCTTTGCAAGGTCTCATCAAGGGAGTCTTGTGCTTTGAATGTCTTTGACTGTCTTAGATTTTGTTCCTACCTGTGTCACAAGCTAAGCAACTCTAGGCCACTACGGCTGCAAAGGCAGAGGATCGGTTTAGCACCACGGTTTCTATCGGCTGCCAGGACGAGAACCAGACAAGCAATATCAAGCCAAGATGAACTTCTGATGTGTGTGAAAGTCCTTCGATCCTGTCTTGGTTTCATTTTAAGTGACATGTCTTCATTTAAAAAATGATCTGAACATATCTGAACATTTGTAGATTTTCTGCAGAGTTTCTCGGTCTCAGGAGGCCCTGAAGCTGTTCATGTCATTTGGACTTGCAATGTTGGAGTTTGGCAGCTGTACCGCTGCAGTGGCAGCTGTTTGTGCGGTGAAGCCTGGCGACTCCTTGAGACTCGCAGTTCCTGCGCTTCTTTTCGTTCTTCAAAATGCTGCGGACCTCTTAGCGCTTCAAAATGCTTTTAGTTGTGAAGCGTCTCAAGTCACAGCAGCTGAGCTTGAATCGAAATTCTGCAAGCTGCACAAAGTCTCAGCATTTGACACTAGCCTTTTATGTCACAATCTAGATCAATCTACTACATCACTCTACTACATGCATCATAGACATATACATACATATATATATATGTATATGTATATATATATATATGTATATGTATATATATACATACATGTATATTACATATATATATATCTATTATGTACACTATACAAAGACATATATGACCCAGGCCAGCAACCCCCCCACCCCCCACGTCATGGTCATGATCCTGTATGTACGCTGTATGTAGGAGGCTCTATGTAAGATATAGTTTACACACTCCACCTCCTGTGGGAAGGGTGGGGTGTTATAGAGGTACGATGTAGATAGTGTATAGGTAGCATGTGGCTAGCACGTATGTATAGCACATGAGATCTTGATAGTAGCTAGAACCTGGCTACTTTAAAGGTACTGTATGGGCAGGAGTACGTTGTAAATAGATTGTATGGGCATATAGGCAGTAGTGCACACTGCATGGAAGTATCCTGTTAGGCAGTATACCATATGAGATCTTGACGGATGGTCGTAGATGGCTAGGCCACCGTTGGCCGCTGGCCGGGACCAGATAGATATATATATATATTATATACATCTTGTACATATATGTATGTATAACATGGTGAACTTGTGCATAACATCGTTCAAATATCCCAAATGCCAGAAGCCTGCGAAGAAATTGTGGCCAAGATTGTACCGTTGCACTTCAGGCTATGCAGCTTGCTACCGTGCATTTGCCAGCTGCGCTTTTCCAAGTACTGTGGCAGGGCAAGACGTTGCTCGATTGAACACATCAGAATTCTGTGGCAGTGGCAAACCACATGCAAATCACATGCACCATTCACATTTCTAGGAGGCATCACATGCATATTACTAGGAGGCATTGGAGTCTTATAAATGTTGCAGCATGATAGTGTTGTTGTGATTGGCCTGCACATGACAGTCGTTGCCAGTTGTAGCTGCCGCAGATCACTCCATTTGGGGTTTGGAGTTCTTCTGTATTATCATGGATATTGTGTAATATGCACGAACATACTTATATATATATATATAATATCTATATATACACATAAGATTGCATAAAAGTACACACTCATGTAGACTGATGTACACTGATCCATACGGTGCGCTGCAGAAATCGGAGGCTAGTGATGGCTGCCCTCTCAGTGCTCCTTTTGGACAAGCGACTAATGAGATCTTCATGGCTTGCGATATCCTTCATGGCAGCTTCTCAGATGAACCAGCGCAGACTTGAACTGCAAAGTGCCTTCAAGGGAGCTTGATTAGAAGGGCATTCGAAGCGGACATCAGGCGCAAGTTCTAGCAATCCATCCAGTGGTGCTGTTCCGGCAGCTAGACACGTCAGGAACCACAAGATCACAATCTCAGGTTGGAATTGCTGTGGTCCAGCTGTCACAAAGCAAGGAGAGGCAGATTGTTCAAAGAAACTATGGATGTTGTAGTTTCTTTTTCTTGCTCATGGTGCTGGTGCTGGCTTGTGCCCTTGTGACCTTTGTGACCTTTGTGGCCTTTGCAAGGAAGGCAAGCAAGCTTCAATGGTGAATGCATCAGAGCAGCAACCTGCTCTAGGCAGCTGCATATTCAACAATCTAGGCATATTGGAATAGCTGTCTTAACAGTTCTTAACAGATACGGTAACCGGAGGCAACCGGCATAGAAGCAGATGTCCGACAGAGGGCTGGATTGAAGCGCAAGTGATGCAACATGATGCAACATGATGCAACATGATGCAACTACCTGGGTTGGACGGTTGGACGGTTGGACGGTTGGACGGTTGGACGGTTGGACCTGGGTTGTCGGAAATTTCTTGGACATTTCTTGGACCAGTCGGACCTAGACGCTGACGATCCGATCGACCAGGCCTTCTCTTGGTCCTTGGCGGGTGCCTTTGTTCGGGCTTTGCAGTGCCTTGCACAAGTTCATTGCACAAGCAGTTTTAAGGTTTGTGACATGTCGTTACAGGTCTTGTGGAAGTTTGGGAACTTATAGTTTCGTGAATCCACTCCACATTTCAATCTGTGCATCTCTGAGGCAATCTACCTGGAAATGCTGGTGAAACAGAGGGGGAAGACAGCGAGAACTTCAATGTGGGTTCAGAACATGCAATTAGCTGCTGGGCAAATCATGCACGTCATTTTCGTGAAGTTTCTATTGAATACACTGACGTGTAGAGATCGCCAGAATCAGGCTTTCTATTCGTTGCTCTTGACTTCCACATCGACGGCTTATTCCATGAAGCCGGTTTCCATTGGAAATGCAGGGCTATTTCGCGGCTTCTCCTTCAGCGTACCTCAGCCGGAGCCAGCGTGTTTCAGAAGAGATTTGGAATGCATATTGTAGATAAATAAATATGTATATATATATACACATGTCAATATATATATAGGACATTTACAGTATGTATACACATGTAATGTGTACATATATACATACATACAGATACATACAGATACATACAGATATATACAGATACATACAGATACATACAGATACATACAGATACATACAGATACATACAGATACATACAGATATATACAGATACATACAGATACATACAGATACATACAGATACATACAGATACATACAGATACATACAGATACATACAGATAGATACAGATAGATACAGACAGACAGACAGACAGACAGACAGACAGATACATAGATAGATAGATAGATAGATAGACAGATAGATACAAACATACATACATACATACATACTTACATACATACATACATACATACAGATACATACATACAGATACATACATACAGATACATACATACATACAGATACATACAGATAGATAGATAGATAGACAGATAGATACAAACATACATACATACTTGCATACATACATACATACATACATACATACATGCGAATGGGATGTAGGCTACGGCATGCAACACACTCCCATGTAAAATAGCCCTTAATCATCCACGGCCAAGGGCTGCATGTATGTGGTCCTTTGGCTCAAGATACTGCTAGCTCCGCGTGAAAAGGAAGCAATGCCGAAACTGCCACTCGTTCGTCATCGCTGGTGAGAGATCAATAACCTTCTCAAACAACCAAGAGCATATATCGGGGAGGTAACCTCCGATTCACAGGTTATCAGCCGTAGGACTCCTACGGAGCCTACGAGCGGGTAGCCGCGGGCCTTACAGATGACTGAACAGGATAGCAGTGATAACGCATTTTCTTTCTCTGGACATGCCGTTGCACCAGCTGCCGGCACGCAGTCAAATTCTTCACAGAGTATCGACACTGGTGGAAGCGATGCCTCAGAACTGAGAACGAGCCTACCCAGGCGACCTCTGGTTGCTCCTAGAGGGAGACAAATTTCGACAATGCAAGCAATTGAAGATAGGGACAGCACACCTGGAAAGAGAAGATCATCTGCACGACAATTGTCGCCTCCGATGACTCCAAGGACTAAGGCAAAGACTACGTCGTCGAATCCGCCTTCGCCGATTCAGGACGCTACTCCATCAGGGACAGGATCTTATCAACAAGTGAACGCCCCATCAAGTGGTAGCGACATCTTCACTGCCTATCAGAGCGAATTAGCTGAATACAAGACATCACTGGAAAAGGCAACTGAAGAAGAATCCGTACTTCAGGCAAGATTGACTGAGACGACAGCATATGCCTATCAACAATTTAATTTCCTGGAAAGCACCGCTCATCAAGAAATGATGTCGATGAACGAACAACTCCAGATGCTGAACTTTGAGTTGCAGGCTGCACAACAAGAAGATGAAGGTGCAACCTACAGGATCGAAGAGTTGGAGAGGTATCAGACTATGTCGAATGAAGCTGCATCTCATTTGGAATTTAGATATTCACGACTACGTTCGGAATTCGATGAACAAATGGGACAAGCGAACGCAATTATGGTACATGTGGGCGCGGACGCGAATGCTCACATCAATCAACTCAGACTGGAATTAGAAAACGCAGAGATGAACGCAAAGCAAGAAGCTCTGGCGGTCGGCTATGCTAACGACCAGACGTGTGCTTTACAGATCGAGATGCTCGAAGTCGCCAACCAGAACCAGACAATGAAGCACACCATGGCCATGAATGTAAGACGACTGGAAACTGAGCTCGATGCTGCTGACACGAAGAGGGACGAGATCATGAAGGAGTTCCGTAGTAACATAAGATCCGAACATGACCGTTATGCAGAATGTGAACATCACTTAGCTTTGGAAGAATCGCAACTTCGATTGCAGGTGATTCACAATGAGAACTTACAATCTCGACTAGCGACTTCTGAGAGCAAGGCTTCTGAGGAATCTCTAGCTGAATCAAGTGGCATGCGGGACATGAGGATAATGGGACTACGTTCGGAACTACACATGAAACAAAGTCTTTTAGATCGAATGCAACAACAACTGACTGAATCGAAGAATCAATATCATGAACTTTCCTGTCAACAAGCCAGAAGATCCTCGCCAAACAGGTCACCACATGGAGGGTTACTGCATGAGATGTACATGCAAGCCGTACGTGAACGTGACAACCTGAAGGAATCCAAGGCTGAAGTTGACAAGTTGTACTTGCAGAACAGAACTGAACTCATTGACACGGAGAACCTGCTCAAAACGTTTCAACAACATTTCGATGAAACTGGTAAGAAGTATCAAGATGCTCTGAACAGGATCGATCACATGAGCAACAATCCGAATGTGACGAGTAACTTGTTCGATGATCTACACAATGAAATCAATGACAGGGATACAGCCATTGCTCGCCTTCATACTGAACTTGAAGCCCAAAAAGATTCTCTTGAGCGTGCTCACAGGGATGCAGGTAAGTCCATCAAGATGTTGAACGACAGAAGACTCGTGATCAAAGGTGCGACTGACTATTCCATTCCTGAGAGCCACTTGACTGAGATGCATCAATTGGCTAGTGAACGTTTCGCCGAAGTAGAAGAGATGTCGAGCACCATTGCTGCCCTGAAATTGGAAAACCAGGCTTATTCTTCTTCATCATTGAATAGACCGGCTACATTACTTGGGTACCCCAGTAGTGCTATGCCTCGAATTGAATGTGAAGAGAAGTGTGCCAAACTGAAAGCAGAATTGGACGAGATGAAGCAAGAGAGGAACGCTGAAGTTCGAAATCTTCAAGATGAATTAAAGAAGATGGAAGATCGGAAAGATTACTACAAGAACAATTTCTCTCAAGCTGAAGATCGTGCCAATGATGAAGAGCAGGAATACCGAGCTGAAGCTGAAGCCTTCGAGAAGCTCAGGAACGAGTACAACACCAATGTCAAGGAGTTGGAGAACCTTGAGAAGGATAGATCTAAATCATCCGTATCTCTAAGGGAAGCCGAAAAGATCAGTCCCCAACCTTGGCCTAAGACCACTGAACTTTCATCCTGGAAGGGAAGTGTCGTTCATGAAGTTTGTGTTGCAAGTGGAGATCGAAACTATGAAGATTGGAAAGCGTGGCTAGCTCCGTGTCTTGCAGATCAACCTGACTTAGAAGCTCTGGCCAAAGCACCCGATGTGAGATTCCAATCCATTGATGCCAAGCTCTCCAATGCCTTGAGGAAAGTCATTGACAATGCTGGGGACAAGTCCATGCAAGTGAAATATGACATGTCCATGAAGAACCAAATGTATGGGAGGAGTGGGGACTTCATCAAGGGACGAGAACTATTCGCAATGGTCTTGATTAGTTTCAAGTCGCCTGACCACACTGAGGTTCTCTACAACGCCCATCATTTGTACATGTTCAACTACTATGGAGATGACCAACTTGAGGCCTTCTACAACAAGTGGCTTGACATCATATACAACATGAAACATGATGATCTGCCTTCTGCAAATTCCCTGCGTGACACATTGTTCCGGAAGATTGAGCATTCAAAGCTTATGGCTTTCGATATCAACCGATACCGTACCTATGATGAAGGGCATCCTGAGAAGACCTATGCTTCCCTAACTGGCATGATCAAAGGATACATAGCAAGAGGAAAGCAAGAACGACTGTTGAAAGATAGAGAACGTGCAGTGAAACTGTCATTGTCCTCTAACAAGACGACACCTGCCCTGGAAGATGCTGACAAACCTGCTGCTCCCATTAAGACCAAGAAGGAGAATGAAGCAGCTGCATCGTCTACAGGTGATCCTCCCAAACGACCTAAAGCGAAGGCGAAGAGTGAAGCTGCATCAGTACTTCCAACACCTTCTCCGAAATCTCATGCCGACAAGAACAACAAGAAAGGCAAAGGGGGGAAGGGAAGATCATCTTCACCCGTTGACAAGAAGAAGATTTTCTGCAATTACTTCTTCAATAAAGGAGGATGCAATAAAGGTGACAAATGTCTTTACAGTCATTCTCAGAAGGTCTATGATGCCAAGATGAAAGGTAAGAAAGGCAGAAGTGGAAGTCGAGATTCATCAAGGGGGAAAAGTAAAGGAAGTTCATCTTCAGCTGGACCCAGAAAGAAGGTATGTTGGAATTGGCAGAAGGGTACCTGCACGTTTGGGAACAAATGTAAATTCCTACATGCAGACCAGTCGCCTTCAGCATCATCAGAGAAGACCAGCAAGAAGACACCAAAGAAGAAAGCAACTCCCATTACCATTGATTCCTTCTTTGATAGCGACAATGAAGATTCTTTGGATTATACCTCACCGAGGATAGCCAGCGCAAAGAAGTCTTCTGATGATCGCAGGATCTCTTTTGAGCTGGAACCTGAAGTGCACGAGATTGCCATTGAGAATTACCAGGAGGGATTACCCAAGCGTATGTATCGCGACCCCAACAAGCAGTATGTCTTCTGGAAGGTCGATGATTTGACCGACGATCAGTCCAAGTCCGACAACACCCTCGGTTCAGTCCGAGCACGGGCCAAAGCTATCGTCATGGATAGATGCGGACCTCATCGTCTTGTTGATGAAGTTAGAATCATCATCGGCCCCAAGTTCGACATGTTGATCAAGCTAGACGATGATCGTGATGACTTGACTTTTATTGAAGAGCTTGTTGAGCACGAAGTTGGAAAATCCCTCGTGAAGTCCAAGAATATGATGTGCATTTCACTACCAGTGCAAGCCAAAGATCGCAGATTCATCCTGGATTCTGGCAGCGGACACGACCTGATTTCTGCAAGGAAAGCTGAAAGGATGAACTTGAAGCAGCGAACTTGTGATCCTATCATGTTCCACACCGCCAATGGTTCAACTGCTACTCAAACGGAAGCGGAGATTGACCTGGGAACCTTTGATGTGACATCTCATGCTTATGTACTGGACGACACTCCGTCTGTGATGTCTCTTGGGAAACGATGCATGGAAGAAGGATACTCCTTCGT